GTAAAAACCACGTCCAGATCGCTCGTTATCCATCTTACTATAATTTTCTTCTGACCAAGATAAAGATTCGAAAATGAGGCATGCTTATGTATAAGCTGTGCTTCTCTAATTTCACAGCAGTACGTGATAATGCATGTAGTGAAGACGCTCAGTCAGAAATTCACGTACCTATTTTCTACTGGGTTTGCTGACCTCATTCGTGGACCGATCGCCTTCATTCCCATTGGCTTTTCCATTTTTCCCATTTTCATTTGTTCGTCTTCTGAACTTTCGCCATTCGGATTGTCGATTCGAGTTGAAGGCGCAACTTCGACTTGTTCATTTTGCGCAAAAATCGTTAACGGATGGAAGACAGCGACGATGATGAGGTGCAGTAAAAACCTGGAAGCACGCATATTTGATGAAAGAATAGTTGAATAGTAAGGTTTAACAGCAAATAATTAAGCGCTGATTAGAGCTGGGAGGGACTGTGGAAACGCAGCAGGTTTAACAAAAGGTGGCGTTTGACGTCTGAAAGTCTTTGACAATGCCCCGGTAACTTATACAAGTTGAGAAATAATGTACAAAAGCATAAAAATAGAGAAATTTATAAGAAATTCAGAAAGCATCATTCTTAAATTACAAAAATGTGAGAGCGCCAGCTGCACTGATGGTACGAGAGTTCAACACGATGAGCGTCAGGGAAATACTGTAAGATGCAAGGGAGTCTTGAATTATGTGGAAGACGAAGAAGCAGAACATCGGGCTTGCCGGAGAGCACATGAGCAACAGGGAAAAAGATGCGAATTTGAAATTGACGCCCGGAAAACCAGCTTTGTTCAAGTTTTAAAATAAAACAAGCATTCGATTGACGCAAGCACATCGCCGCCACCACCTCATTCCCACACAATTCACTGTTGTTTACCGCGTTCAACTTATTTGCATGAAGCTTTCACTCTCCTGATCAGCGAGCACATAGCCTCGATGCATTATGCTCGTCGACCAACCAAATTTTTGATGAAGGTGAAAGAAAGTGAAACTTGTGCAGTTTATCGAAACAAACGCTTCATCTGTGAATCGCTTCATCTGTTCGCCCAGAAATTAATGCATAAACTGGCATTAAAATGACCGGAAAATTGAGCCTGAAGCTTACGCATCTGAAGAGAGCTGCATGTCTTGCTTCGTCGTTCATCTATGCAATGCAAAAATACGTATTGTTGAGGGGTTTTCTGTTCAAACCGATTTTCTGTTCAAAATGTACAAGCGCTCGATTTTTGAGGAATTCCTTGCAAAAAAATTTAGGATGGTGTCAAAATAATCAGTGGGCATATCCTGGACAAGCTTACATCCCCTGTCTAATACTACCCTAAGCCTCGACTTTGTTTTCAGGAATTCTGAGGTTGAAGAAATTCTCAGTTGATACAGCTGATAATTTCTCTCTCAGATATTCCAGGAGGGTTGTTAGTGAAAATGTATTATCCGAAATGCATGGATGTTAACACTTCGAGGAATTCCAGAAATCAACACACCGATGGTGCTTGTTTTGCCGGGGAAGTGGAGGGGGGGGGG